TAACACAGTTAATATACCTATAACAATAGGAGAATGAGTATTTAACAATTATAATGATACAAGCATTAAGCAAATTCCAGGATATTCATTCCTATCTAAGATAGAAATATATGTATTTATTGACATTGTTCACATAATGAAAAAAAAAACTCTCTTCATGCAATATACCCAATAGCTTTCTAAGAATGACATTCCTTTAACCTAAGTCTCAGGAAACGTTTTCTTTTTTCAAACAACACATATCATGAATAATAATAATAATAATAATAATAATAATAATAATAATAATAATAATTCTCCAAAAACAAAAAATAATCCTCGAGATTAACAGGGTGTCGGGAATGAAGACTGACACTGTACCAATAGTAATCGGAGGTCTGGGCAGCGTGTGAAAAGAAATGGACAATTTTACTGACAATGTCCCAGGTAACATCAACATACAAAGTTGCAGAAGAGAGCCCTAAGACATCTCACATACTAAGAAAAATGCTGTTAAGTAAATAGCAATTCTCATATATATATATATATATATATATATATATATATATATATATATATATATATGAAAATTTCTCCGATTTAAAAGTAGAAAAAATACAATATATATATATATATATATATATATATATAGAAAAAATAAGGAAAAAGAACATATTAGGTAAATAATGCGGGTTTCTTTAGTATTTTTGTATTTTTAAAAACAGTGCTGCATACAAGTAGCTTAAATTATAATTATCTTTTAAAGAATATGATTATATATATATATATAATATATATATATATATATATATATATATATATATATATATATATATATATATATATATATATATATATATATATATATATATATATATATATATATATATATATATATATATATATATATATAGATATATATATTATATGAATATATATATATATATATATATATATATATATATATATATATATATATATAGTTAGTTAGTTGATATATACCTTAGGGATATATATATATATATATATATATATATATATATATATATATATATATATATATATATATATATAATAAAAACAAAAAAAAAACAAAATTTTGGAAATGACACTTAAAATATATTATATTCGAACTGCTGTCTTCATTTTCGCTTTTTATGTAATGGAGCATTTCGATACGTAACTTCTTAAACGACAGTCACATTTCAGGCCGAAGAAAATATCGACCTTCAGGGTTGTCATGATAAAATCAGACGCACAATCAGTAGTGCAGGTAATATACGGAATAATGTCAGACCTATTCTTAGGACGCGAGTGAAAAGCATTTGATCGATAATAATAATAATAATTAACCGACGTAGACATGAAGATCATCTTGACGACAACGTTATTGTCAAAGACTAGAGAATTGGGACTTGCTGTCTCTTGGTTTCCAATATGATCTCTCAGTTACTCATGGTCAGAAATACTCAATGAGTATAAATAATAATAATAATAATAATAATAATAATTTTAAAATATAGCGATTGAATTAAATTTTTCTTGTAATTTGCTAATACCCCTTATTAATTTTGATGCTTATATAAAGGTAGTTTAATTGCAAAATTTCATTAAAGTATGTTAAATTTAATAATAAAATTATTGTCTAATAATAATTATAATAATAATAATAAGCTGAAGATATTTTTCACAAACTAAATATAATTCACTTATAGGAATTTTTTTCTTCACAAAAATCTTCAAAAACGGAAAAAATGAAATGAATAATAATAATAATAATAATAATAATAATAAATAGAAGAAGAAGAAGAAGAAGAAGAAGAAGAAGAAGAAGAAGAAGAAAACAAGTGCTGAAACTATAAAAATGTCTTCTCAAATTTATGGCAGTGAAAACGGGTAAAATATATCTGTTAAAGATTATAATTAAACAAATAAAAATAAAGGTATTGAAATAGAAATTGAAATTGAAAAGAAATGACATTTTAAAACTACTGTCAACTGGAGCACTTGGTACGATTTAAAAAGGTGCAGAACAGAACTTTACCAAAATCCCTGTCAGCCCCTGTTCATAGCAGATTATAAAATGTGCATTTTGTGGAACTGTTCATACACTCAGGAGAATATTATCAATTTAAATATAAACACTCTACAAGTGATGCATCAGTTAACATCAGAATTTGTGCAAACCCGATGAATATATTTAGTATCTTGAAGTGTAGAAATGTGATGAACAGAAAGCAATAATAATAATAATAATAATAATAATAAAAGGAAGAAGAAGAAGACATTTTTAATAACAGTGTCCCAGGTAACAACAACATAGAAGGTACCCAGAAGATCACCCTACTAGGAGCATCCCATATACTAAGAATTGACAATTCTCTTATAGGGTCTAAGTACCATAGTTTAGACCCGGATCTATAGGATACAAACAAAAAACATAACGTACACAAATAATAATAATAATAATAATAATAATAATAATAATAATAATAATAATAGTTTTTTTATCAGTGAAAGTTATCATGAAACTATTTTTGAGCATAGGTCGCTGGTTGGGACCCGGAGGGAAATATATATACAACAGTATAAAAAATAATAATGACTGACGATGCAACTAAGAGACCGATTAATATAGTATTTGGTCTCAACTCTTCGATAACTTTGAACTGAAGATGTAAATAATATTACACGTATACATACTGAGGAAGGTGCTGATTATTTGAGTTGGACTTGCTGTCATTCTATCCCTTGAGATAACCATCAGACATGCAAATGTTTGAAAAAGTATTATTAAGAAAAACTGAAGCTGATCTGAAGCAACAGCTTCAATTGTATTTGCTAAAACGTACAATAAGTTTGGAGCTCTGTTCATGGAAATTAAAAATAATCAAAATTATTGCCGGTAATATTGTCTGCATAGATTCTTGAAATGACTTCTAAACGAAGGAAATATTGTCAAAAATCAATAAAACTACAACAGCATTATCATTTTAAAAAAGTTACAAATGATATGTATTTTCTTCTCTATATAAAAATATAAATGTTCCATATTAAAAAAACTTAATTCCATTATTATAGTGGCTAGTCGAATCACAAAATTAAATTAACAAGTATAACGTTTCGTTCTTAAAATAACTCAAAATTTATGTTTTATCGATGGGTTCAATTTTATATATTTATAGGGTGGGGTAATTAACAAGCGCTAATTACAGTTTTACATTTAGAACTCTAAAGATGCAGTGTACCTGAGATTTAAATTTAAATTCTTGATGTTTAATATATTTTTCGATGCTTAATTTAGTTGATAGCGTCCATATTTATATTGTTTTTGTTTTAAATTTATTTTATATTTTTTATTGACTGTTTCATTGATGATAAAAAAAAATACTAGGAATAATTCAAATAATATTATATTTTAATACGCTAAAAGGATGGTGAGAAGTATACAAATGTGTCATAAAAGAAACAAAACAAATTGGTCAATGAAAATTTGTACGCGTTTTCAGAGAGGAAAAAAACGTAAATTATCCTTAGGTAATTAATAGTATATAGAGTTATTTATTATTTTTAGTTGGGGTTTTTTTCCGATCCCAATACCCTCTGATGTTTATTAATTTCGCATATTTAGTAATTTTACTTTTTTTTTTTATATACAAGGCCCAAGTGCCACTCAAGGTAGAAAGTTACTTTATGTTATAACTGTTTTGCAGCGGTAAAAGTAAAAGATAAAACGTGCAATTTATGAGGATATATGTGAAAGATAACCCTAGACCTGAACAGGTTAAGATTGCAGTGGACGGGAAAGCATCCTCTTGGGAGTCGATTCCATAATATAGCTGTTCGTGGAAAGGAGCTGTTCGAGTGGAATTTGTTCTTACTAATAAAATGAAAAGGGAATGAGAGAGTGGCTCGCGTCATTGGCAGTTATAACGAAAAGCGAACAGCTATGTCGCCAGAAGCATTTAAAAGCAATCAGAAAAAAAAAAAAAACAGGGAAAGATTACATTCATATCAAAAGAAATATTTTTCTTGATATTGTTGAGTCAATGAAATGTTAAATTATGATTCATACGCATAAAAATATTAAGTATGGGAGAAAATGGTATATAAATTTTTATATACCAGAAAAAAGTTAGGATAATTAATGAAAATGTGAGAAAAGAAAAACTATATAGTATTCTTATAGACCCAAACAAAAAAATTTAAAAGATTAAAATTTCAGTTTCCTTCGTGCGCATGCGTAGTCAAATCAACGTAAATCACTTTAGACACACAAAAACAATTTATACTTTATCACTAATTATCTTAACATGTTAATTTCTATACTTAGCTGATTAATGGAAAGTGAGGATATTTTTTGTTTTTTGTGGGGAGTGGGGATTTCCGATCCTTACCCACTATGTTTTAAGTTTTTATTAAAGTTTTTATTACTTTTGCGTTTAAATTATATTTGGTTAACGACTCTAAATGCATGAATTGATGATATTATGCGCGTTGAAAGGTTCTGTTTCATTGCATTGCATTAAAATATAATCTATTAATCTTTATTATTTTCAGAATTACAATTCATTTAGGTAGTTTTCAAAACCAAAGAAGTTTCTTTGCTTAAATTTTAATACTCTGACACTTAAAACGTTTTTCTAAATGGGTCTTTTATCAAGAGCTCCGTTTATTGTTTATTGAGAAAAAAACAATTCGATCCCACCAAT